AGCATCACCGAAACACATCAACGTGGACGGCCTCTACACCGATCTCTGCGCTATTGAAGGTCTTTTCTTTTTTTGCGTCCTACGCTTCTATTTTTTGATTCTACCTCCAACAGACTATATATATAGCCTAAGGTGGTAGTGGTGTACCGAAAACGGAAATCTATTCCAGCATCGTTATCGACAGTTCGTTTCTTTTTTTTTCAGGTGTCCGCGATGTGCATTCGCTTCGAGTGTGGTCGTTGACAATGGATAAAATCGCGATATCGGTGCATTTGGACACCGAGAAGAATTGTGACTCGAATCACGTGGTGCATGAAGCTAATGAAAGGCTCAAACTGAAGCATGGCATTCATTTCATCACTGTGCAGGCATTTTTTCTTTTCCAGTTTTACTACACCAAAGTATTCGCTCATTCCAGAAACTACTCCACTTACCAACACACGGTTTTTAAGCTAACATTCTGGACTTTCCAAAAATCATTCTGGACTCCCCAAATATCTAAGACGGATAACTGCACACGTAAGGGGACTGGTATCGCATCCAGCTCGCTTTCAAACAAACAAAGTTGGCACTGCGATAGAATGACCTTTTTTATCAATAGTGATTATGCTCAAGGAACACGTAGGCACTGAATAAAAACAGAGATTTAGGAATACGGCGGTGAATTCCACGACAGTTAGCACTGTCAAAAGTTGTCAGAGCGCTAGTATCCGGGATCCATTCGGCATGCCTTTGTCTTTTACAGAAAATGATTTATAAAAAGACGGCAGGTATGAGCACTGTTAGGTCGAAGGTTCTACTCCACCGGGGAGACAGCCCGTCTCTCTACGATTCGTTCATTCGGTATTGGCATATGCCACGAAGTCAAATCCGCCATGGTAAATTGGTATTGGCATATGCCACGAAGTCAAATCCGCCATCAAACTGCTTGCAAGCAACCCCCGAAAGAGGAAGCCATCGACAGTCTCGCTAGCCGTTGGTTGTTGTTGGCATTTGCTATCACTTAGGTTACTTCTTAAGCGCGAAAACAAAGAGGATTTTTAACTTTGAATTTTTTGATTTATAAAAAATCCTATGCCAATTTGCAAAATCTTCACTGTATCTCACATTAAACATGAATTCCTTGCTTCACAATGAAATTTGGACATATTTAGGTGCAATGTGTATGCAGCCGCACAGTTTCACTTCAGTCGTTCCAGCCCGCAGCAT